TTCCCATTATTTTCTTCTTAAGAGCTGGAGTTTCACAGGTGTAGTGGCTCAGGAGGGAGAGATGGGGGTAGGATCACTTAAAGACCAGGAGTTTGAGACCAGCCTAGGTGATTCCATCTCTAAAAACATTTTAACTGTTAGCCAAGTATGGTGGCACATGCTTATAGTCCCAGCTATTTCACAGACTGCAGGAGAATCACTTATGCCCAAGAGTTCAAGAGTACAGTGTATGATTGCGGCACTGCACTCCAGCTTGAGAAACTGAGCAAAATTTTGTCTCTAAAAATATAAAAATGAAAAAGTATATAGAGTTTTTATCTGTTTCCCAGGCTAGTTTTAGACTCCTGGACGCAACCAATCCTCCTGCATCAACCTCCAGAGTTACTGGGACTACAATCATGCATCACCATCCTCAGCTTACAATATAGATCTCAATTTAGTAGATTGTGAATCTAATTCCAATGAAACTTAGACATGTTATTCCTACTAGCTCTCATCTCCTCTTTTTTTGTGCTATTTTGTTATATATATTTCATCTCTCTCTCTCCCCCCCCAATATATATATATTTCAAACACATTAGGTATATATTATGCCTTTTTATATTAACATCTTATTTAGCATTTTCTTCTTCTCTTCATTTTTTTCCCTGTAGATTAAAGTTGCCATATGGTCTCATTTCCTTTTTCCAAAACAGCTTTATTCCCACTTGCCTTTTTAATGCTGTTATTATCAAATATATTACATTTCTACATGTTAGAGGCCCAGCAATACATATATACACACACATATGTATATATGCATATTTACACACATATATACAATACACATATATGTATGTAATGTAATTGCTTTTTAAAACAGTTAAGAGAAGAATAAATATGCATTTATACTAGCTTTCATAATTACATAGATACTTTAATTGGTGCTCTTTACTTTTTTCATTTGAATTGAAATTGTTACCTCATGTCATTTGCTTTCAGCCTGACAGACATTCTTTTAGCAACAAATTCTTCAGCTCTTGTTTATCTGGGAATGTCTTTATTTCACTTTAAGTTCTCAAGGATAGTTTTTCTAAGTATTTGATTATTAGTGGACTCTTATTTTTCTTTGATCACTTTGGATACATTATCCTACTGCCTTCTGGCCTCTATTATTTTTAATGAGAAATCAGTTATTGATCTTAAATGAGATTCCCTTGTATGTGAATTTTTCTCTTACTACTTTCAAATTTTTTTCTTTGCCTTTGTAATTGATTATTTTGACTATAATGCATCTGAGTTGGAGCTCTATGTTTGTTGATCCTGCCTATAGTTTTTTTGGGCTTCTTATATGTATATATTAATGTTTTTCATCAAAATTAGGGAATTTTCAGACTTTTTTTTTTTTTTTGAGACAGAACCTCAAGCTGTCCCCCTGGGTAGAGTGACGTGGCATCACAGCTCACAGCAACCTCCAACTCCTGGGCTCAAGCAAGTCTCCTGCCTTAGCCTCCCAAGTAGCTGGGACCACAGGCGCCCACCACAATGCCCAGCTATTTTTTGGTTGCAGCCGTCATTGTTGTTTGGCAGGCCCGGGCTGGATTCAAACCTGCCACCTTAGGTGTATGTGGCTGGTGCCTTAGCCACTTAAGCCACAGGCGCTGAGCCAGACCATTTTTTAAAAAATACTTTTATCTCCTCTTTTCTACCCTTTTGGTAATACCATTCTGTATATGTTGATGTATTTAATGGTACCTGACATTTTGGGTTTATTTTTCATCTTTTTCCTTTTGCTCTTCATGTTTCATAATCTCTATTGACTTATCTTTACACAGGGCATCATAAAATTTGTGTGCAATTTTAATTTGCAAATTATTTTAAATTGTACATGAACTATAAGGACATCCTGTATTTGCTAATTACTTCTGTTAGCAACTCAAACCTAATGTCGATACCCTCCAGTGAATTTTTTATTTCAGTTATTATATTTCTAAATCCAAGAATTTCCATTTGTTCTTTTTTATAATTTCTACCTATTTTTGTGATTCTACATATGATAAACATTGTTTTTATACCTCCCTTCTTTTCTTTATTTTTCTGAGACAGGGTCTTGCTCTCTTGCCCCAGCTAGAGTGTGGCAGTATCATCAGAACTCACTGCAACTGCCAACTCCTGGGCTCAAGCAATGCCTGCTTCAGCCTCCTGAGTAGCTGGGACAATAGGTCTCTACCACTATGCTCAGCCAATATTTGTTTTTTTTTGTTTGTTTGTTTGTTTGGGGGGTTTTGTATAGATAGGGTCTCACTATGTTGCTCAAGCTAGTGTTGAATTCCTGGTCTCATGCAGTCCTTCTCCCTTGGCCTTCCAAAGTGCTAAGATTATAGGTATGAGCCACTATACTCAGCCACACCTTTTTTTTCTTTAACTGTGGTTTCCTTTAATTATTTGAACAAATTTAAAATACCTGCTTTGAATTTTATGTCTGATAAGTCTAACACCTAGACCTTTTCAAAGTCAACTCCTATTACCTGCTTTTTTCCTGTGTATTGGTCAGATTTTCCTGCTTCTTTGTATATCTTGTAATTTTTTTTTTGTTGAAGATTAGACATTTTAGATAATATATTATAGCATTCTTGAGTACTTACCTCTCTATGGGGCTTGTTACTCTCAATGTTTACTTCTTTATTTGTTAGTGAATTGGCTGGGTTAGTTCAGTGAAGTCTATTTCTCCCATAATA